TTATTGTATGGATGATAACCTAAAACATGGGGGATGTAAGACATTTTTAACAGAAGTTAAAAAATTTTTAGTTTAACCAAAAAACTTTTTTCTTTTTTTTTTCTTGTTTAAAAGTACTTAAAACTTAAAGTCTTTGTGTTATCATACGGATGTAGATAAAAAAATCAGATTTCAAAACAATTTTTCTTCAAAATTTGCACAAAATTTCTAGCTATAAATATTTACTTCTAATAGCTAAAATTTATAGGTCTTTATACCCTCCTGATAAACGTCAGCAGATTTGTTATCTAAGATGTCAGCAGGTATGTCATGTCACTATGTCATTGGTAACTAAACTGAAAACATTAAAATTGATATCAAACTGTTAAATTATACAATTTACGGCTCTCTAGCGTGCCAATATGTTGTTATCCGCATGATGCACCGAAAAACATACCTGTTAAAGCTGGAAAGACTGAAGATCTTCTAATCAGGGCATTATTTATAAATATACATTAAAAGTACTTAAAATTTTTGACATCTTTGCATCATTAACTCTTCATCTCCTAAATTTACTGTCACAGCTTTAGACTTGAGATTGCACTTATCAGCCCATGGGATGTCTTTAAAGGAGTTTTTCCTCTCATCCGATATGGCTACATCCTTTAAATTATCTTCTTTTTAAGATAGGAATAAAGAAAAAAGATATAAATTTACAATACCAAAGATCGTTTTTTTTTTTTTTATGTATTCCTGTATCATTAAGAATTCATGTCAATTTTCTTATCCTTACATTACTTACTAGTAAATTTCTTATATTATTAAAAAATGCATATTAACTTTGTATTCTTGCATTCTTTATTAGTAAATTTACCGTACCAAGGTTTTTTTATCCCTGCATCATTAACTTATCATCTTGTAAGTAAGTGTCACACCGTTTGTCTCGAGATCGTACTTCAAATAGTGTATGGCCCGAAGGACTTTTCAATCTTATGTTTTCCAGTAGGGAAAAAATTGGTCATTTCACGTCAGAATTTTACGAGGAATACGGGAAACATAGTTTTGTCCAAATCAAACGTCGGCTTTATTTATTAATCCAACAATTTATGAAAAAATGCCAATTTATTATTTAGTTTTTTGCTTATATCTTCACTTCTATTGCTCGTAGGGAAATTTTTCAATCAACAATCTTTTTATCATCAAATTTCCTATTAAACAGACACTTTTGCAAATCCAGTATTGATTGTAAATAACATTTTGCAATAACGGCCTGATAATCGAATGTTTTATTGCGAAAAAATTTGTTTGTTATTTTCATGTATTTATGCATCACACTTTCTCAATTTTATTGAAAGAAAAGCTGAAAAAAAGTGAAGAAAGTCGCAATGTAACATCCGGGGTAGCTCAGCGCTCCCATCTGTACCCCACCCCTCTTTTGCGACTAGGTGGCCGACCGGCAACCGGTTGCAGTGCGCATGTGTCAAAACACGGGCTACGGCTGGCGTTTGAATTTCAATAAGTCGTTTTACATAATTATATGGTTACAAACACAGTATGTCACATTGAATAGGCTTAATAAACAATTTAAATACAAAAATTGCGTGTAATGAGAAATATATAGTTATTCAAATTTTCGTGTACATTAACTGATTATTTCAGCTTTTTTTGATACATTAAATTTTTTTTTTTATGATTAACTAGCACAACTACAGTCTGTCTACAAACTTTTGCGTTGCATCGGTATCAGTTTTATTGGTATTTTGTGCGGGGTTCAAGGTATTTTTGATGTATCGTCGTAAATGCAGTCTTCTTCAGTATTTGAAACTTTAATGTGCTCGATATTAGATCAATTTTTTCCTGATCAGTATTTATTTATTTATGTGCAAGTTAAACTGTTTGGGTCTTTATTTAATTATACTAAGAGATTCTTTAAGAAAATTTACGAAAAAAAAAAAAATTCCATTTCTATTTTCAAGTGACCACTGCATTAAAAGAAAAAAAAGTCTTTAGTTTAGGGTATCAATTTTTTTTCTGTAGTAAAATGAAGATATACTTGATGAAGATTTATTAATCAAGCATGATCAATGTTGAATAATACGTTTGTAACCGTATAATTATGTAAAACAACTTATTAAAATTCAAACGCCAGCCGTAGCCTGTATTTTGACACACGCACACTACAACTGGTCGGCCATTTCGTCACCAAAGAGGGGTACAGATGGGAGCGCTAAGCCGCCCCGGATGTGGCGACAATGCGACTTTCTTGTTTTTTTTTTCAGCTTCATTTTCGATGAAATTGAGGAAGTGCTCTGGCAGTGTGATGCAAAAACACATAAAAACACACAAATTTTTTCGCAATAAAAAATTCGATTATCAGGCCGTTATTGCAACAAACACTAATTTTTATGACAGATTCAATGACGTTTGTTGCAAAAGAAAGTATGCAAAATTGACTGAGATATTTGCAATTGTTCAAGTTGCAAAACATAATTTTTGCTGGCAAAACGTCAAAATTCACAAAAATCAATTTTTTCTCATTTGTTATCATTACTAACATTAAATACAATGTTTTTATGGAAGCAAAATGTCGTTAAACCGTCTGTGAAGTTTGTAATATCACTTCAAAGTTTCACTTAAAAAAATCAATGAACAAAAAACTAACAATTGCTTTGAAATTTTATAAATAGTTATTTGTTATGCAACTTAATACCTACATTTTCTTTCAGTTATATTTAAATTAACATGATAGTTTTTTTTACGTCGATCTCAAGTTTTGCAGTATAAAAAATTTTTTTTCGCACTTTTTTGCCAGTAACATGTTATTAACAATCAATAATGAATTTGCAAAAGTGCCTACTTTATAAGAAACTTGACGACAAAAAGATTGGTGCTTGAAAAATTTCTGTAAGAGCAATAGAAGTGGAGATAAAAGCAAAAAGCTAAATGAAAAATTGGCATTTTCCCATAAATTGTTAAATAAATAAATGAAGTCGACGTTTAATATGGACAGAACTATTTTTCCCGAATTCCTGGTGAAATTCGGAAGGGAAATGACCAATTTTTTCCCTGCTGGAAAAGATAAGATTAAATCATATTTTTTTTGTTTCCGGGCTATGGACGAAAACAGCTTATTAAAATTCCGCTCTGTGCGGGCGAGTTTGATAGACGTGTGGGCTAGCTCTGCGAAGCTGTGCTCCGTCTTCCTCACCTCGATTGGACGGCTTGAGTATGGAATGCATAAGTAATTGGTTTTCATTGAGGTATGTCATGTGTATTGTTTTGCAGACATTTTATTCAAGAGTGTTTTTGCCAAGAGACAGTCTGAGCTAAATATGTGTTTTTGAGTTTGAAGTAAGTTGAAGGGAACTCTTATTTTTGTTCTGTTCAGGACTTATGGTGTTTACGTGACTCACAACGATGAGTACGATGCACTAATGATTTTGTTTTCATGTAAGTTACTATACGAAAGTAAAATATAAATATTATTATGAAGTGAAAGATTTTAAGTACGTCGAGAAAATGGAATATGAAGATAAGAGTTGAAGTGTTGTGAAACATCATCAACGAATGACCTGTAATGATGCCTTGGCGGATTTGTTAAATATAATCTACTTGTATACCAGTGAACCTGTGACTTTGGCGGAGGAAGTTAGTTTTTGTTCCTGCAGTACGGCTTTTTCAATAGGGTAGTATTACATGCCAGTTAATGACCCTTACAGACGTTTATTACACATGTTTTTTTTTGAACAAGTATTATTCACATCAAACATATATTTGAAGTAGCATGAAAAATACCCCAAAAAATTGCAGATCGTTTAACTGTTCTCTTATATGTATGTTTAATTTTAAAAAATCGCAGTTTACGCAATGCAATCACGTGAAATTTCAGTTATATGATATGTGGGAATCTCCAAATTTTTTGGTATAAAAGATTATTTTTCTATAAACCTATGAAATTTTCAAATAGTAGATCCACAAGTTGGTTTTCAAATAAATTTGGAAAGAGGGAATCAAGTATGCGTGAAAATATGTATGTAAGTACATTCGCATGAGAAAAACAATTGCTAGCGTTGCTGCATATATTTGCGCTCCTCTCACCTCTCTGAACTTTTTCCCCGCTAACTATGAGAAGAACTTCCTTAAGTAAAAAAATCACTTAATCACAAATTGAAAAATTGTGAAAGAAAGAAACACAATAAAAATCAATTGTATTTATACTGTACAAAAATTTTTTTTTTTAATTTTGAAAAATATGAGAAAATTGTATGAACAATAATTTATTTATTATTAAAGTAATAAATTAATAAGAAAATAAGTAGTTATTAATACATAGAAAAGCTGCTTTGCTAAAATATACTAATTTTTTAAGTTTTAGAAAAAAAAATTAGTTTATTAATCAAAAACCAAATTAATTAATATACCGTAAATATAGTTTGCAGGAGGTCGGGGGGTTCATTTTTTTCAACTGATTAAAAGAAGTAATAATTCAAAATGTTTCGTGGTGCGGAGGAAGTCTAAGGATGGAGTAATATGTAAAATCCACTTCCATCACACTTTTTCTCAAGGTCACCAATCTGAAATCGTTGATTCACTCTTATACATAACACGTCTATAGAAGTCCAACTACAAAAAAACAGCTAATCAGATGCATTTGGAAAAGTTCTTACTCTTATGCAAGATGGCTGCGTCTTATAATTAGCTGTATCCCTTTTGTAAGAGAATGCGCTCTTTAATTGCTCTTTATAGCATGCGCTCTAATATACATGCGATTTTATCAGCCAATCACATGAGCCCATTTTTTGTTCTTTACTAACGCCTGATTGTTAAAATAGTAAGGTTAAGCATGAACGAGATTCATTCATAGCTAAGCCACGCCTCTATATCAAATCCTAAATTAAGATTCTAAATTTTTTTTTTTAGTAGGTATGACACAATATTCATTATGTTTGTGCAGAAGATCCTCATTTTTCTAAGCCGACTATCTTCCACACTAAAAAATATATTTTTGTAACAAAGTACATACAAAAAGTATTGTCCGCAACTATGCCCGTAGATGAAAGTGGGCTATACAAATTAAAAATATGAAATAGTTAATAATAGTTTATTTCCAATCGTATACAATGATCAGCTTTTTACGTCAAATTAAAATTACATCAATGTCAAACTTTAGTATTTGTTTGAATATATTAACGTCTACCATAATGTAGTCTAGTTTAAAAATGATTCCTGTTTGGTATGTTCATCTCCGAATTTAGTTTAGTACATGATTTTACAAAAAAACTATTATAGAAATTTTCAGGATTAAATAGTTGTTTTGAAAGTTTGAATTCTAGAAATTTTTAAAGATTTTTATGGGGTTATATGCAAGTACCATGCAAATACCGATTCTCCAAAATTTCTTTATCTTTAACCTTAAGTTGTTGATTTGTTAATATCTAAAATTATTAGTTAAAAATCATTTCAGTAGTCGTACAGCTTTAGTTTTTTCAACCCATACTAATATCCTCGCTGGACTGAGCTTCTTCTGGATAAACTAGGCTGTACAGAGCATGTAAGGCAGCTTTTGCTGCAAACTTTTTGGCGTCTTTCTTATTTTTAGCTAAAGATAAAACAAAAAATAATTATAAGAATAGCACAAAATGAAACAAATATTTCAAGAATGGATATAACTTACCAGTTCCTGTATACTCCTGACCATCAATTTCAACTCCAAGGGTAAAAGTGATGTTTGGTGGATTACCAACACGATTTACTTCAGTATAAATAAGGCCAGGTTTCATTTGGTTCAACAACATTACGGGATGAATAGAGATAGGATTTGGCGGTAGTTCTTTAGGTGTAATGGGTTTGGTGATATCTTTTTTTACTTTACCAGGAGAAAGACCCGGCCGTGGCACTGGAACAACCGTGCCTTGATTCTGCCACTCGAGAAATAACTTATAAAGAGCAAAACTGGCCAATGAACTCCATGGTATTTCATTCGGATCTTCGGAATGTATTTCTGCGTTGTTACCCTCACCCCCTTCTTTGTTTTCGTTTTCTTCTCCACTTACTTGGGAACTATTGGTATTACCTTCATTTTCAGCATCAACGCTAGCTTTCATTGCAGCAGCAGTCATTTTTTCTAAGAGCAAACTTTTCAGAGCATTCTCAGCAGCATTCTGGCGAGCTAACGGTTTTGAAACACCTTGGCCAACATAAGTTTTTCCATCGATCTGAAAATTGTAGTGTTATAGTACAGAGTCACTAATGTTAAGATGTAGTATATAATAATGTGTACGATTTTTGTACTTAAAATATTCAAGTATTATTACCTCAGCATGCACAAGAAAGAGAGAGCTGGGTAAGGATGACTGCTGCTCTGGGAATGTAAAATGGACACCAGTCTTCATTTCATTCAGTACCATGATGGCGTTCTTTGGCTGCAGCGTTTTTCTCAATCGTTGATTTAAACGCAAACGCTTGAGTTTCTTGTTCACCTTAACTGCAAAATCATCAAAATGAATTTATGTATAGTATTATACAGAATAAAGGGAGAAATCTCCTAAACTTTTTTTTCAAGTTTAGAAACTATTATGTTTACACAAAGTAAAACAGAGTTAAAACTTAAAAGTATTTCGATTAAAGTAGTTAAACAAAACGAATAATTTTCAAACTTGCGCAGTGAATTGTCATCATGAAACAGATGATTGTATCAATTTCAAATGATTTTATAAAATGTGTATGTAATGTAACGGATTACCACCTGGACCTTTGCGCTTCCACTTGGGCACATCCTGAACGTCGCTGCTGTCCATACTCTCGGGAGCTTCATTTAAATTCGTTCCATTATTTACTGATGATGGTAGTGGTTTATGTTGTTGCTGAGCAGGACTTTGCTGATTGAAAGCTTGGTTTTGACTTTGCTGAGTATTAGTAGTGGCACTGCTCTTTAAAATGGGTTTCAAACGTTGAGCTTGAGGCATCTGCTGTTGCTGCTGTTGAGGCTGTAGTTGCTGTGGATTAGGTGGCTGCTGTTGTTTGGCTAGTTGAGTATTTCTTTGAGGAGTCTGTAGCTGTTGAGGCTGCTGCTGCTGCTGCTGCTGCTTGTAGGGAGTGCCAACGCCCTGCTGCTTGAAGGCATTCTGCTGGTTATGGCCACCCTGATAATTTCCGTGGTTGTTGTACTATAAAACATAGGGAGGGATTCTGCTACACAAGGAACCTCGACGGTTGTGCTGTCCCACCAAGGCCCAGCATCACGCCTACATTACTCTCATGCTGCCCTTACAGTTCATTACCAGCTAATTTCCTTCTAACTGCGGCCATTTTTAAGTACCAAGTACCATAACCGTAGTGCGATATAACGTTGGGGTATCAGTATCAAAAAATCGTCGGTCAGAAGACAGCATAGCAATCGGCTTGTCGGCTCTCACTATTCTTTCTTACTGGCACTACAATGTGCTTGTGTATCGAGTGTACATAAGCACTGAGAGTATTTCAGCACAGAATATTCGCACTGAGATGCAATTTAAAATAGCGCCATCTAAGGTGAGTTATATAACCAGAATTACACAGTTCATAAAATTTACTGTTAGTTAATTTATTTAACCATCCCATGGGTTCTTGCGAATTTTGGGCGGTCTAGTAATTCTACAAATCTACTGTAAGGCGGATCTTCTCTAAAGTGCATCTTGGTACGAATCTTTTATTATATTTATCATCGCCCTTAAGCTCAGATATGGCTTTTTTTACACTAGCTAAGTGTTATTCAGCTATCAGTACAAACCTAAGTCATGATCAAATGTTTATACGTTTAAACACATACAAATACCAAATTTTAATCACATCTATCACGTTGACGAAGCGTAAGAAAAACAGTTAATCGACTCTCGAAAATCAACAGCACAGGCGAAATAGCGAAACTCAAACAGTCATTCATCGACGTACTAACCGCGCCAAATGCTGCTTACCTTCAGAGATTGACGGAACTGCAACTCTACCACTGCGCCACTATGACCACCTCTCTTGGTACGAATGTACCACTCTAGCAGACAGCATTGACAGCAATGCAAGTAGTATATGTGTAGGTCGTCTCACAGTCAGCTTGTTACGCTGATGTGAATATTACAATTGTAGAGTGTACATTATTTATTAACATACACAGTTGACACAATTACATGGTACAAGTAACATACACATACACATTGTTGTAACCATGATGTAAAAATACAAGTTTGCGCTGAATAGCTAGCAACTAATTAGATTGTTAGGTCAAATGCGAGACATGTTACATGATTTAGGCTCAATATTCAAAGATGGACACTATTAACAAACAAATCTCTTTAGAGTAAAAATAATTAAAAATTAATTTAAGTAAAAAAAAAATTGATGGATGATAGAAGATTAATTGTAAAAAAAAAAAAAATACATGAAAAAGTTAGTATTATTAAAAAAATAACTCAAAATATCAATACGTATTCCAGGTTATATGCAAGTACCATGCAAATACCGATTCTCCAAAATTTCTTTATCTTTAACCTTAAGTTGTTGATTTGTTAATATCTAAAATTATTAGTTAAAAATCATTTCAGTAGTCGTACAGCTTTAGTTTTTTCAACCCATACTAATATCCTCGCTGGACTGAGCTTCTTCTGGATAAACTAGGCTGTACAGAGCATGTAAGGCAGCTTTTGCTGCAAACTTTTTGGCGTCNACTCAAAATATCAATACGTATTCCACAACCATTTACAAAAAGAATGAAACGGACATATAAAATGTTATTAGTGTAGTGATAACTTATTGTTATTTATAAACAAATTTACTTCATTTGTACTCACTTTACTTTCTTAGTACAATTTAGAGTTAATTTTCATATAAAGTTAAGATTTATTCGTCTGAATCTTGTAAAGGTGTTTGTTCGATAAGTGTTTTTTTTTTAGGATAGTATACTTCTGAGGAATGGCCTTAGTAGTTTAATTAAAAAACTTATAAAAAAATTTCAGACTCTTCATATATACATTGTTTCATGAAACTCTTTAAATATTCAATTTATACTAAAAGCTGATTAAGGAAAATGATCGGAAGTAAAAATTTATCATTTTATGTCAAAATCCAAACAAAAAAGTGCACACTAATGTAGATACAAATATTCAACAAATTTTAAATACATGTTCATGGGATAATTGTGGTTTATGAATAACATTAAACCTAGTCCTCTACATTAATATTTCTAAAGAATTTTTCTTATACACACATACTGCTTTTGTATTAATAATCGTTATGTTTTCAATTCCCAAATCAAGATATGCCTGTGCAGAGATACCTGGTGCCCATTTTCTTGAAACACAATCCTTTTCTTTTGAGTCTGTGTCTTAGGTGAGTAATTTTTACAGCTAAGCAAATACTCTGGTTTATTTTTAAAGTAACTTCCCTTAAGTGTAGTGAACATATTCTAGCTTCTACTGTTTATTAAAAGTTATTTTTTCTGTTTTATAAAAACCTTCTTTTTTAATCATGTACTACACATGAGCCAACATACCGTTTTTGAAGTTAACATCTTTCTTACATGCCTCCAACCATTTCAAAGCCATTGCTCGATCACATAAATGAAAAAATTTAAATTTCTAACTTTTTGGCATCGTCACGATTATACGTGCTACTTTTTGCGTTGCACACAGGCATGTTCTAACAATCTCAAGTGATTAATCATGAATGTGTCATGACTTCAACTTTAAATTTGTTAGTAAAATGCATTTACCAACATAGCGTTTGTTTGGCCTTAAATCCGATTGGTTAATTCTGATAGGGATAATATGCGTCTATTCAGCACACCCTTGTATTTTTACATCATGGTTGTAACTACAGTAAGAGAGATTTATGGGCATAGAGAAGCCGATCACCTGTCTTTTAGCGGATAATTTTTGTATACTCCCTCATTTCTGCAGTCTGAGAGCATTTACATTTTTTTAACTTGGTAAGACCAAGTTCAGTAAGAGTTACCTAGAGAAAGCCTCGCGGCTTTTTGCTATGTGGGCAACAGGCAAACTTGCCCTTGGTGGAATGCACATCCTCGGTATTGTTGTATAGCTACTATTGCCTGCAGAGCAGGAGTGGGAGATAGGAACAACTAATTAGTACATGCAAAAACGACCCCTTTTTACACTTTTAGCATACAATTATAAATTGAAATTATCATAAGTTTTCATTTAAAAAGTATCAATCTTAAGTTCTTAATTTCGTAAAATTTTAGTACTGGCCAATCTAGCCTCAGACAAGTCGTTTGTTATTAAGTAAGCAAAACTTGATCATAGTAAAAATCAAATAAAATTAAGAAAGTTCCAATTGACAAATGCATATGTTGCACACATTTATGTACAAATACTTTCAAAACATTAATAAAAAAAAATGTTATTAGCTACTTTGGAAGAGTTGCGTCTCATAACGTTATAGTAATGAATTTCGAAAGTTATACTCAAGTTTTAATGAATAAATCTCAATTGGCGTTTATTCGAATCAGCAGAATTTGGAATGACAGTACTGTTGTAATTTAGGGTTCCTCAACAATCGTTTTAAGAAACAATAACTCAAAAACATAAATATGTATACTAATTTAAAGTAATGTTAAGTAATACTACTAATAAATACAAGAAATTAAGTGATTTTCTGAAAATGCAGATGAAGCAGTGAAATTTTCAAGAATAACTATTCAGAGTATCAGGAAACTGAGTTCTGAATACCTTTAACAAAAATTATATTACTTCAATTTCAAATCTTAATACAAGCTCTGAAGGACAGCAGTGAATTTAGATTATTTTTATAGGTAAAAAAATTTGCGGTTCAAAATATTTAAAAAACTTAAACAGTTTTCAACACTTTGATTTTTATTGTTGAAAGTTTTACGCCTCTCTGCATTTTGACAATAGTACATTACATTACAAGGCTTTGCCTTGGGGGGCAACTTCACCGCCAGGAGCGGATAATCGAGTGACGTCCCGTGTAATGTATACTATTTTTCTTACTACTTCGGCCGAAAATTCGTGGTTCATTAGCCATCAAACAACAATTATCAGCTAACATTTACGACCTGAGCGAAACGAGGGTTGTTGGTTAGCGGATGTTAACAGGCCCAACGAGCAAAACAAGTCGGTCAGAACAACTTAATTTTATTAAAACCCTCTAGATTTTATTAGGTACTAGATGACGTCTGATAAATTTTATTATTTGATAAATATTTTTGTATATCAGCAGCATTCAAACATTTTCAAGCTTATATAATTATTTATTAGACTCCTGGGCATCGGTTGCTGCAAAAGTCTTATAACACGCGCTCTATGTAAAATTTTTCTCACAGCTCGAAAAAAAATAAATAAACGCAGCGTAGGTAAGTACCTACTTAATACTTATTCACTTTTGCATTGCTGCTCACTATCTCTCTATCTCTCTCTCAAGCAAGCAGAAGTAGGGAGCAGAAAGTTTTTTCTCCTGAACTCTCTACGCGATATTTGGACCGTGTAACAGTTTGAAAGAGCACCACCACTGGTGATAGTCGGAGTCACTGGACCGGAAATAATGCACGGAAGTAAGTGACAATTTCTCTCTATTAATTTAATCTTACAAATTTATCGAGTTAGAAGACGTTTATACAAGTAATAATGAATTTTCCAGTATCTAATTTATTATTTTTGTCTATACGCTTTGAGGTTGCAAATTTTTTGTGATGTGTGTTTTCAGAAAAATGGATAAGGTCATCACAGGCAATGGAAAATTAATAATTACTTGTATAAACGTCTTCTAACTCGATAAATTTGTAAGATTAAATTATCCTATCTTTAAAAAATGATGGGTCACGTGATAAAGCCTATCTATTCGTCATGTGATTGGCTGAGACTGATCAAACGCGGGTAGGTTTCAAAATGAGATTTTGAAAAATCAGTGAAGTCATTTTAATTTGTAAGTTGATAAATATTACAATATTACGTGTTCCTAAAATACAGAAAATAAAATGTTTGATTAAATTTTGGGGGTTGGCATGCGGAGCGCGCAGGGGGCACAACCCCTTAGTTAATGAGAAATTATCACTTACTTCCATGCATTATTTCCGGTCAAGTGAATCCAACTGTCGCCAGTGGTAGCACTCTTTCAAACTGTTGCACGGTCCGAATAGATGTCACGTCGATAGGGAACG